TTATTATTATTATTATTATTATTATTACTATTATTATTATCATTATTGCTGTTGTTGTCATTGTTTGTACCATTTTTGACTGCTGAAGTGTGTTTGTAACCGGTTCCATCTCTAAGCGGATATGATATGGCCATGAAATAATAGACTCAGATAAGTATCGTAGCAACACATTAGCCATAATGTGCTATAATGTCATAATTTCCATTTGGCAGTAACATAATTGTTGAATTTAGTTGAGATCTATCGATTTGAACTGCAGTTTGATATTGTTATGGGTTGCATCTATGCAAAAATGTTTGCCTTTCTCAGTGATCTTAACAGAGATCAGTCAATCAATCCATTTCCAATGGAAAATTTTATTTGCTTGCGTATAATGTGGTATTATTATCGATGAAAGCATCTTATTTGCATTAAGACTCGTTCGTGGCTTTTGATCATAGTACTATTCCTTTCACTGTGTGTTTTCTTACTGAATGCTAAATGAGAGTAGGTAAATTTTATATCGATATACACACATCAAAAATGTTACGCGTTCTACGATTTTATTCTATGCAAATAAGCATATATTATAAAAATATATTGTTGCTTTATTATTCTTCTTCCATGATTATAATAGTAAAAATGATAATAATAGTAATAATAATATTGATAATAATAATAATAATCACAATAATAGCAATACTATTGCTGTATATTATTGAATTTTTCTTCTTTTCATCATCATTACATGAACATGTTCACTTTCTTGAGTAACTTTTACTTGCCAGAATACTTTTTACTGATCCTCCTACTCTTTTAAACAACTTCAATCGCTTGAAATGTTTCGTGCACATACTTCCACTACTGTTTGTCTGCGTTTTTCATCTTCTCACAAAAAGGATGACTACAGTGTAAAAGAACCTTCATCGTCATCATTTCATTTCATCTTTCATCTCTGAACGGCGTAAACTAATAATTCAAATTGAACTTTATTTACTTATTTGTTTAATCATCAATTTCGGTAGCTCCTCACGTGTTTATGCCTTTCTGTTATCAACAGTACCACATTCTTCCTTCATTGGCACCCTTCGTTATGCAGCTAACGATAATAGTGCTGGCAATCGTCTAGCTTCATGAGATCCTAACTTCCATTATTATTTTAGCGAGCACAGAGGTGTTTTGCTACTCTCCCATATCACCCAATGATTTCTAGGGAGATGGACTCAAAATGAGTTCGAAAATACACTCCGATTAATCGGCTGAATATGTGCCCAATAATCACCCAGAGTGGTTGTTCGAAACAGTAATCTTCCGAAATCAATAATAAGTAACGATCTCAATTAATGTAACCGAATAGATCAGCGCATTATCTATTCCACAACCGAGCAATAGTTGCCACAAATACATTGCATAACTGAGCTAGCCGATTACCAATCTAGTAAATAATCGTAACAACGATAAACCTTTTGCCGATGTTGATGTGATCCAATCAGACGTTTTCTTTTCATCGCTTGAGGTCAATACCAAATCTTTTTTGGCCATTTTCAATCAGAAATAAGGATTGATTATACGAGTACGATAAAATGTAAAATGAACGAATCGTTACGATCAATTTATGCAATAATAACAGTCTTCATACTTGATCAGTTGTAGACGGGACTTACTACAGAGATGTCCGAACAACAACCAGAGGCAGCAGCCAGTTCCGATAATGGGAACAGAAACAAGATGGGTCTTATGGGCGCAACTAGTTACATCATTGGGAACATCGTTGGAGCGGGTATTTTTATTGCGCCTACAGCCATACTTCAAAATACCGGAACGGTATGAAAGTATTCTGACACAGTAACAGCCTTAATTCCCTAGCTTCTATTCGTAATGAATCAATATGATATCACATATCAGCAGTTTTCGTGTGTGTTTGAGTGGAACAGATATGAAGATGACATGGATAGGATAAGTATATTGATGGATGATGTTATCAGGTTGGTTTGTCGCTGTGTGTTTGGACACTATCTGCACTCATCTCAGTGATGGGATCGTTTTGTTACGTTGAGCTTGGTACTAGCATACGCATTTCTGGTGCTGATTTTGCGTATTTGTGTTATGTGAAATGGTGAGTGAGCTGATACTCTTTTAATTCATCGCTTTAATATCACCGACCCAACCAACATCTACTGAGTTTCGTTCTTCGTTGGCCACTGACCTAGTGTCAAATACTTAAAGTGCTTGTCAGCCGGTGGCCTCCGACGGATGTGCGATTCGGTGGACAACGAACGAAAGCGAAAAACGTTGATCGGTCGATGGTCTCAGAAATGTCGGTGGCCACCAACCCAACTGCGACATAGATATTCGTTCTGAATGGTCCGTTTAAGGTATTCAGTTGCGTTTGCGTTTATGTGTGCGGGTTGCGCACTCAATTATCCGGCAACACTCGCAATTCAATCACAAACTTTCGCCGAATATGTCATCAAAGGATTTAAATTGGAATTGGCTGATCCCACTCACGAATACTATGCGAAAAAACTCATCGGATTTTCATTACTCTGTAATTTCATGCTCTTTTTCTATTAATTCGTTTAGTCATTTGCTCATCATAATCGCTGGCAATCACTGTTTGTCAACTGACTGGTCGGTCTATTGTTGAATTTTGAAAAATTCCAATTTTTGAACTTGGATTTTGTGATTTTCGCTTCACTTTTACTCAAAAGATTCATTCACTTAAAAAATTCACTCATCCATACCTTTATTGCAATTGCATATATTCAAATATTATATACAATTTACATTTCAGGGTTGTTGATGTTTTTGAATTTCTTCTCACTGAAAACGCTCGTCTCTCGATTCCAAATCGTTGCAACGTTAGCGAAAATTCTTTCAACAGCGATCGTTATTTGCACAGGATTTTACTTCTTAATTTTCAAAGGTTTCATTCATCATTTTATTTCAGGACCTGATCTGACGATCATTTGAGTATAGCTCAATAGAATATTTTGAGTATTCACAGCAAATAATCCAAACTTTTTCGGCATATTTTTCATTTACTTATCCATTCAGGTTGGACAGCAAATTTGGAAGCGCCATTTCAAGGGACCGAATTCGATGCTGGTAATGTAGCGTTAGCATTTTTCGGCGGTCTTTTTGCATATGATGGATGGGATATTTTGAATTTCGGTGCAGAAGAAATTGAGAAACCAAGACGGTAAACTTACTCCTGATACTTCATTTCGACACTTTTTCTTTTCGTCATTTCAAATTTGTTGGAAATCTTCACCGTCGTAGTTTATTCTTTTGATACCATAACCAATATGCTCTCGTTGAAACTGTTTCAGGACAATGCCATTGGCTATCATTGTCGGAATGATAATTGTAGCCATTATCTATATAGCAACAAATATTTCGTATTTTGTTGTGCTTACCGCTGATCAGGTGAAGGATTCAAACGCCGTCGCATCAGTGAGTTCGCAGTTTGTTTCGGATCTTTTCACTTTTATTATTTCTTCTATCGCTGCTCTTGTATATATTTTTATTGGCTAACCTTGAAGTGTTTATGCAAATTTTTTGCGCACATTTATTGTGTTTCATTTTGAGAAATTTTGCAGTCCTTTGCCGCTCAATCAATGGGCAACTTTCAATATGCAGTACCATTTTTGATTTGCATTCTTCTGATAGGATCATTGAATAGCAGTTTGTTTTCAGCTAGTCGGTTGGTAATTTCATTGATCAGTTACATATTGCAATCACATAACAAAACTCGTTATTCATTTATTTTAGTTATTTATCAGTCAAAAACATATTCTAAAATTGGTTCAAAGACCACCCACACACTTATATATGTACATATATGTAGAGAGAGATAGATGGATAAATAGATTTTATGCACAACTGTAGCAAATGAGCCATGCAATTCAATAGTCATATAACAAATTCTTGGTATATTCTCGGGTCAGTCCCAGTTTTACATGAGCTTGTCTGGACGACTTGCGACCTGTGTCGTGTTCCCATGAAGAAATGTTGATTATGTGATTACCTATTCAGATACTTATATTTAGGTACTTGCAAGCAGCCGCAAAACAAGGGCACTTACCATCGTTTATCAGCTGTGCAAATGATGTCAACGACAGCCCAAGAGCTGCAATTTTTATGAATGTAAGTTTTAAGATCAATCTTACCAACACTATTTGTACGTAGGACAGAGGGGATATAGATTATTGAATGGATGAAGATGGCTATTGCTCCTCAAGGTTCTGAATGAATATTACATTTAGATAGTCTTATCACTTGGTTTATCATTCGCCGGTGATCTCGATACATTGATAAGTTACGTTGGTTTTGCGCAATGGTCACAAAGAGCACTGACAATGTTAGCCTTATTATGGATTCGTTTTCGTCATATACCTGTACATCCAGATGCAATCCGAACACCAATTATACTACCGATCACATTCTTCATCATCTGTTCCTCATTAGTGAGTTGCTGCTTTTGAACTTCCACAAGGCATCTTTTGAACTTCCATAAGTCAGCAGTTAAGATTTCAACAAACTGCATAATTATCGTTTTCGTAATTTTCCTTCTGAAGACTGCATGTGGCTATGAGAAAAGCCTCAATTGCGAAAAGCAGTCGAAAGGAAAAGGAAAAGTATCTTCGATTGTGAAGAAACTGGTTTATTTTTAGGTGATTGTGACAGTTATTGAAGATATCAAGGTTGCTGGCGTTGGCTTATGTGTTATTTTCGCAGGATTCCTCATCTATTTTCTGTTCCTCTGGGAGCGTTCATTACCTTCCACTAGAATCTACCAAAAAGCATCCTATCTTCTCAATAGTTAGCTGTTACAAAATGTGTTTTCACGTAGACTGATGGACTTGCATTGCTAACTTATACTGTGTTGTCGATTCGACAACATTCTCACATATTCTTTTGATTGCTATTATTATCATCATTAATATTACTGTTACTATAATAATAATAATAATAATAATAATAATAATAATAATAATAATAATAATAATAAT